AGGGGGGGGGGGGGCTCGTCACTGAATGACATCCAGTAGATTTCTAGCGGGGACCAATCAGAGGGCTGCTGAATAATTTGAATAATTTATCAAGGCCCACGGACGCGGTTCTTTCACTTGTAAAGTAGCCAATTACCACCGAGCCGGTGGCACACGATGAGCGAGAACATGTATTTCACACCCATTGTACGTCGACATAAAGCGCTTATACATTACAAACAGAATTTTCGTAGGACTGCCATTACTTTAGTTTGCAGCATGTGTATTGAGAACGAGTATCTTCATAATTCTGCTGGCTGTTTGTAGAAGAACGGCGGAATAAAACAGTTTTCAATACTAACACGACTTAGCAGATAACACGTAATGAAGCCCACTTTTTTACGCAGATTGTAGCACTACGTAATGTTACACAAACTAACAGTAGATGTTTTAAGGAATTCACAGAAATGACAATGATAGATAATGTAACGCATATACATTATACAGCACAAAATAAAGAGTAACAGTAATGTAGTCGTCTTTGGCCGGGTATGGCAAGTTATAGTACGTACATGTATCGGTTCAATCTTTAACGGGTAAGTTGACAGCAACAAGCAAGTTGCATAGGTTCTATTTCTTTTGTAGCTCACTTGCGTCTAGATTTGGGACGAACCCATGTTACTTTTTCGCCGCAGTTTTTCATGTAGTGGTTACTTCGACAGCCTTTCCGCTGACGCAAACATACTAGTTTGAGGTTCCACAGTTCTTACAACGTTAGCGCTTGAAGTGGTGTTTTCCAAGTTTGTTGGTCTGGTGATGTTGTCTTTGTTGGCTTGTTGTCTGTCATTTCCCTCCATTTTTATGTTTGGCGGCCCGTCTTCGATGGGTTGGGTTTGGTTCACAAATCTCAGCTTCGCTAAGATCCGTTCCTTCCCGTACGTAGTGGTCGCTCGCTCCATTAGCGCTAGTGCAGCCACATTTGAATGTGTAAAACTTAATGTCTACAGTCCCGTTTTGATTCGTTCATCAAAGTAGATTTTACTAAGGTATGACTTTACTAAGTGATTGTGGAAGTACTAGTACTTAGTACTGATGTAAACAATATACGCGCTCTGGTTGAGTTCATGGCATTTACATGAAACAAGGTGCTAATAGCCGCTAGTCGGTGACGCGTCAGCAGCCCTATGATTGGTCCCCGCTAGAAATCTACTGGATGTCATATAGTGTACACGGGGGGGGGGGGGGCTCGTCACTGAATGACATCCAGTAAATTTCTAGCGGGGACCAATCAGAGGGCTGCTGAATAATTTGAATAATTTATCAAGGCCCACGGACTCGGTTCTTTGTAAAGTAGCCAATTACCACCGAGCCGGTGGCACACGATGGGCGAAAACATGTATTTCACACCCATTGTACGTCGACATAAAGCGCTTATACATTACAAACAGAATTTTCGTAGGACTGCCATTACTTTAGTTTGCAGCATGTGTATTGAGAACGAGTATCTTCATAATTACACAAAATAACAGTAGATGTTTTAAGGAATTCACAGAAATGACAATGATAGATAATGTAACGCATATACATTATACAGCACAAAATATAGAGTAACAGTAATGTAGTCGTCTTTGGCCGGGTATGGCAAGTTATAGTACGTACATGTATCGGTTCAATATAATCTTTAACGGGTAAGTTGACAGCAACAAGCAAGATGCATAGGTTCTATTACTTTTGTAGCTCACTTGCGTCTAGATTTGGGACGAACCCATGTTACTTTTTCGCCGCAATTTTTCATGTAGTGGTTACTTCGACAGCCTTTCCGCTGACGCAAACATACTAGTTTGAGGTGGACTGCTATCCCCACTGCTCTTTGTCATTTGTATTAACTCGTTGGACACCTGTTTACCGTCATCTGTGTTACCGGTCAAGTATGCTGACGATTTAACTAACTCTGAATTCTTAATGGGGTCGCTTCCCGGTCAGACACAGAGGGCACTTGACGCCATCACTGAGTGGTCTGTGCCATTCTCACTGGCAACAAAAATGGGGGTAAGACTAAGGACATGATTGTCAGCGCGAGGAGGAAGGAGAATGTGCCCGTTCCCCCACACCCTACCGTAGATGGTAAGCAGATCGAAAGGGTTGTCACGTTCAAGCTTCTTGGTGTACAGATCTCGGCGGACCTTACATGGGACGCCCATGTTCAGTACATGCTATCTAAGACGCGACCCAGAATCTACTATCTCGCTGCCGCCAGGAAAGCTGGACTTCCCTCGGACGTACTCACTCAGATATATCTGTCTTTCATCCGCCCGATCTTGGAATACGCTAGTCCTGTATGGGGAGGACTGCCCATTCGTCTGACTCACATTCTCGAAGGAGTACAAAAGCGCTGCTGCAGAATCATGGGCATCCCTACGAACTCCTTACCTACCTTGGCGTCCAGGCGTGACCAGGCAACACTACGTGTCTTCCGGAGTATCCTAGATGATAAGGATAACCCACTGAACTGTTTTATATCCTGTCCATTGCATAGTGGCTATGACCTCCGACGAGTTAGACATGTCATGACTTCACATAGCCGTACTAAGAGACATGAACAGTCATTCTTCCCCAGAGCCATTAAGCTGTACAACATGAGCTAAGCGATGAGAACTGATATACATTGTACTTGCTGTTTATATTTGTTCGCTTTTTAGCTGTTTTTATATATGAACAACAA